TCACCCTTCTCTCTCCCACAGGTGCAGATCACAGGGGTCTCCCGCCCAACCCTGCCCCCTCCGCCCACCTCGGCCCCGCCCCCCATCGCGGCTGCCCCCCCATCGCGGCCACCGGCCCCGCCCCCTCTGCTGCGCCCAGCCCCGCCCCCGGCCCCGCCCCCTCGGCCCCTCCCGCGGCCGCCGCCTCCGCTGCAGCCGGGCCGGGCCCCGCCCCCCCTGCTCGGCCCCGCCCACAGCACCCGACCCCGCCCCCCCACCACTGGACACACCCCCCCACGCTGAGCGCCCCCTGCTGGGCCAGGGGACTCGCGGCTCCCGGGGGGGTTCTGGGGGGTCCCTGGGACTTTCGGGGGGGTCCCGGGGGGGGTGGGAGGGGCCCGTTTGCAATAAAGGTATTTTACTAGAGAGGCTGCGAGTGCTGGGGGCACTGGGAGGGGGCACTGGGGTGTACTGGGAACAGGGGTCCATACTGGGAGCACTGGTCAGTACTGGGAGCACCACTCAAAGGCGACGGATCTTTCTGGAAAGTTTTTAATTAGAACCTGGAAAATCCACCACGGAGGGGGTGTGGCCAGGGGTGTGGCCACAGCTCAGCCCCTCCCCTGGGCATGTCCCCACCCCCCCGGCCGGGGGCGGGGCTACAGCAGGTCAAAATTTGGGGGTTGGGGGGGGCGACCCCCGGGGGGAGCAGCGGCCCCCCCCCCCCCCCCCCCGGGGCCTTCCTGAGTGCGGGGGGGGGGCCGGGGGACACCCCGGGGGGGAGGGGCACGGGGGGACACCCCATGTCCCCACAGAGGGGGGGGACCCCCAATAGGCCCCCGGGGGGGGGCCCTGGGAGGGGACTGTCCCCATGTCCCCCCCCCATAAGGCTCGGGACGTCCCTGGGGGTCACCCAGGCCGTCCCCAGGTGACCCAGGATGTCCCCACGTGGCCCTGGGCCATCCCCAGCTGTCCCCAAATCTTCTCGGGCCACCCGGGACGTCCCTCGAGGTCCCTGATCCACCCACGATGTCCCCAGGACCCCTCAGAACGTCCCCACGGGTCCCGGCTCCAGCCCAGATGTCCCCAGAGGTCCCTGGACCACCCAGGACATCCCCCCGTCCTCAGGAGGACCTTGTCACCTCCCCCCAAGAAGATCCCCACAGGTCCTTGGGCCACCGGGGTGGCCCCAAACAGGTCCCAGGGCCATCCAGGCCTGGACACTTGTCCCCAGATGTCCATCCAGGACGTCCCCAAGAAGACCTGGACCCTGCACAAGGTCCATCCAGGTGATCCCCAGAGGTCCCAGGTCCATCCTGGAGGTCCTGGATCCATCCCGGTGGTCCTGGGTCCGTCCAGGATGTCCCCCTGAATACCTGGACCCCCCAGAGGGTCCATCCAGGTGATCCCCAGAGGTCCCAGGTCCATCTGGTGCTCCCGTGTCCCCCCCGGGGACCCTCCTGGCCGTGTCCGTGGCTCAAGAGCTCAGTGGCCACCTCGGAGGTGCTCCCAGGCCACCACATCCACGTCCATGACTTGGAGCTCCTCGGCCACCTTGGAGATGTCCCGGGTCCCCTCCCCTGTCCGTGTCCGTGACCTGGAGCTTGGTGGCCACCGTGGAGGTGTCCCGGGTCCCCTCCCCTGTCCGTGGCTCAGAGCTTGGGCTCCTTGGCCACCCCAGAGGTTGCCACGTCCGCGTCCGGGGTTCAGAGCTCGGTGGCCACCTCAGAAGTGCTCCAGGTCGCCGCGTCCACGACTCGGAGCTCCTCGGCCACCTCGGAGGCGCTCCCGGGTTGCCAAATCCATGTCTGTGACTCCGAGCTCGGTGGCCACCCCGGAGGTGCTCCCGGGTCACCGCGTCCGTGAGCTCGGTGGCCACCTCGGGGTCACTCAGTGGCGGTGGCTCAGAGCTCGGGCTCGGTGGCCGCCCGGGGGGCGACGGTGGCTCAGAGCTTGAGCTCGTTGGCCACCTTGGAGGCGATGTTCTTGAAGGCCATGGAGGTGCCGGCGATGCGCTTGAAGCGGACGCCGTTGAGGGAGAGCCGGGGCAGTTTGCAAACCTCCATCTCCCACTGCACGAAGGAGTCGTGGCCGGGGCTGCCGTGGGCGCAGAGCAGCACGAAGCGCTCCTGGGGCTCGCAGCGGCAGCTGTTGGCGTCCAGGACCTTGCGGATCTCGCGCAGCATCTCCCCGGGCTCCAGGGAGCTCGTGGTCTTCATGCTCCACGTGAAACGCAAAGAACGCGGTTTGGCGTCGCGAGCGCCGGCGTCCCGGGGGTCCTTCTCGGGGCCCACGGCCGGTCTGGGGGGG